TCATTTGACCTGGACATGTGTCAAATGTAAAATGGTGGCATTTTAAAAACATAGTAAATGTGCATCTACAAGCTGTCAGATCACAGATGGAAAGCTGACCACAAAGAGATCATTCATATGTAAATTCTGAATAATATACTCAAGAACATGGCTTGTGCTAGAAGATATTACCAGTCAGGCCTCTTTATACATTTTTATGTACCAAGCCTGACAGCCCATCTGTCTGTATTTCCTTTCCTTATCCCAATAACATTCTATACATCTCTCAAACACAAAGAAGATTAGTAAGGAAAATTATCCAGGCAGGGCTTAACTTTAAAAGCCCATTTTTTCCACATATAATACCAGTGATTTATAACAAGATGAAAATCAGCCGGAGAGAACAAAGTATGTTCTTTCTCATGGGTCAGTTAGACCAAGGTTTCGAACATGTGGATCAGCCCAGTGGTCAATGCAATTAAATGACCAATATGAACACCTGTGTGCCACTTGGCCTTCTAAGGGCTGACACTACAATGCATTCACTAGGTCTGAGTGGTAACCAAGTGCATAACAGGTACAAAGCTGCACTGTGGAATAAGTTCAGAGACCATTAAGAATATCCTAAGAATCTCAAATTTCAGATTCTATTTAACTTTTAACTCATGAATAGTAGGATTACTACAGCACAGTATTGTACTTAAAACAATTTAAAAATATATATGAAAACTATATTTTCTTTTTTATTATACTTTAAGTTCTGGGGTACATGTGTAGATTGTGCAGGATTTTTACATAGGTATACACATGCCATGGTGGTTTGCTGTGTCCATCCCCCTGTCATCTACATTAGGGGAATGGGGAGGGATAACATTAGGAAAACTGTATTTTCTTTAAACAGCATTCCAGTATACCTTCTGATGCTCTCTGCCATTTATTACTGAGTAGTAGGAAGTTCAAACAAAATATTGAGCAAGACAAGGAAGTAATTGGATTGTTTTATATGAAGGATTTTCTATACCACTGCATACATCTCAAAGTGTTTTCACCTGTTGTCTGTAAAAATACTTGGGCAAGTATTAAGGACCTAGACTGTATTTCCAAATAATGAGGAGGAATTAGGCATCAAGAGTTGAGGGAAATGTCCAGTCACAGAAGCAGAGGAAAATAGAAGCTGTCACAATTCAAGGATCCCTTTACTTCATACTTTGATATTTATGTAATATTTATTATATTGAATAATATGTAATAATTACAATTTAATTATCTTAAAATATATAAAGATATTCAGCATTTATATGTAATACTAATCAAAGGTATGTTAACCAGTAGGTAACCTCCAAGAGGCAAATAATCTGTATTGAGTCACCAAATCACAGAATCTAGAATTTATAAATAAATTTATCCAACCTCACCTCAAAAATGTAAATTCCCTCAGTACCATACTTGATACGTAACCTTTTTTGAAATCTGTTTCCTTAAGTCTGGATACCTGTTTGACTCAGTTATAATAAACTCAGTAAGGATAAGTCCACTTTCTCCCACAGTTCCTTCAACTGCCACTTAGCTATTCACTGCTTGTGCTGGTTAGACGTAAGTTCACCATAATGCTTCTTTTAATGTTTTATTTTCTCTCTTAAAAAAAAGTACAGAATTACTGTAGCCTTGTAGTATAGTTTGAAATCCGGTAGTGTGATGCCCCCCGCTGTGTTCTCTTTGTTTAGAATTGACTTGGCTATGCAGGCTCTCTTGGTTCCATATGAAGTTCATGGTGGTTTTTTCCAGTTCTGTGAAGAAAGTCAATGGTAGCTTGATGGGGATAGCATTGATTCTGTAAATTACTTTGGGCAGTATAGCCATTTTTACGATATTAATTCTTCCTAACCATGAACATGGAATGTTTCTCCATCTGTTTGTGTCCTCTCTGATTTCGTTGAGCAGTGGTTTGTAGTTCTCCTTGAAGAGGTCCCTTACGTTCCTTGTGAGTTGTATTCCAAGGCATTTTATTCTTTTTGTAGCAATTGTGAATGGCAGTTCGTTCTTGATTTGGCTTTCTTTAAGTCTGTTATTGGTGTAGATGAATGCTTGTGATTTTTGCACATTGATTTTATATCCTGAGACTTTGCTGAAGTTGCTTATCAGTTTCAGGAGTTTTTGGGCTGAGGCGATGGGGTCTTCTAGGTATACTATCATGTCGTCTGCAAATAGAGATAATTTGGCCTTAGAAATAGAAATTCCATTTGACCCAGCAATCCCATTACTGGGTATATATCCAAAATACTCGTTCTACTATAAGGACACATGTACACGAATGTTCATTGCAGCACTGTTTACAATAGCAAAGACCTGGAATCAACCCAAATGCCCATTGATAATAGACTGGAGTGGAAGAATGTGGCACATATACACCATGGAATATTATGCAGCAATCAGAAATGATCGTTTGTAGGGACATGGATGAATCTGGAGAACATCATCCTCAGCAAACTGACACAAGAACAGAAAATGAAACACCGCATATTCTCACTCATAGGTGGGTGATGAAAAATGAGAACACATGGACACAGGGAGGGGAGTACTAAACACTGGGGTCTATTGGGGGGAAAAGGGGAGGGCCAGTGGGAGGGGGAGGTGGGGAGGGATAGCCTGGGGAGAAATGCCAAATGTGGGTGAAGGGGAGAAAGGAAGCAAAACACACTGCCATGTGTGTACCTACGCAACTGTCTTGCATGCTCTGCTCATGTACCTCAAAACCTAAAATGCTATAAAAAATTTTAAAAAAAGTACAGAAAAAATGAGGTTTAAGTTCATTTAACAGACCAAATGTTCATCAACAAGTTTATAGTTCAGATAAACTTCTAGTTAATGCCAAGTAATCTATAGTGACAGAAAACAGAGCAGTGAAATCTGTGTATAGGGCAGGGAATAAAAACGAGGAAGGAATTAAAGTGTCATGAGAAATTCGGGGAAGAATGTTTGTGGCCATTATATTTCATAGGCGATTATATGTCAAAACTTGTCAAACTGCATACGTTATATATGTGTAGTTTATATGTAAATTACACTTCAATACAATTGTAAAAAATGAAAATTTGTGCTTTTTGTTTTTAAGAAAAGGTGACTATCAGCAAGGTCTCAGAAAGTAAAAATTTCTCCTTCTGGACCTGATTTTTGTGTTGTTATCAGTGTGGAATCTATATCTTTCATTTGACTTGGCCATTTACAGTATACTGACCACAGTAAATTATTGCTTATTCCCTTTAGCCTGTTTCCTGATATGCTGTGTAGAGAGAAAAATAGACTAGATGTCACAGAAAGTGACAAATTCATGTGTAATAAGTCATTCCTGCTCTCAGGAAATATGGTAGCCCTATGCCAATGGAGTATCTCCATACTAAAGACCCACAGAGATTGTCTCTTTCCATCTTGCCCTTAAAAGTTTGCCAGTTTGGGCTGGAATGGATATTAGCTTTTTTCATTCTCTAAGATTCCCTAAGAAGAAAACTCCACCAACAAAACAATAACTTTTTATTTTTTCTACTAACTCTATGCATTCTCTGTGTGAAATTTTCCTAAATAGTAATTCCCAGGATCCAGACTTTGAGACACGGCACATTTGCTTAACACATATTCTTGTGCAGGGGCATATTTCTCCTCAATTTATTATGGTTCTCTGTTAACATAAATCCCCACTGCCTGTAAAAATGGGACCCAACAGCTTTAGTCTCCATCAAGCCGGTTATCAGATACACTCTGCCTTCTTTTATCCCTCATTCACCAAAGAAGGCTTGTGTTAAGCAATTTTTGCACAGAACAGGGTTGACTCTTAGGTAATTATCACAGATATCAATTGTGAATAATCTTTACCAACAGTTGTGAACAGATACTTTCTAGAACTAGAGACAGGAGTTTATTAACTGCATATACATGTGCTTGTGCTGCTGCCTAAAGCAAATATAAAGGCTCCTGTAAGTAAGATCCAAAATATCCTAACCTTACCAGATCTTCAGGAAGTTGAGGAAAAAAAGAATTCTTCATAGAGAATTCACTTAGTATTTTCCAACAGGTGGATAAATGCCTTGGGAATGATTTTGGAGGCATTGAGTGTTTTGGCTTTGAGACTCATATGTAATTATGTACATGGAACAAGATATTGACTTCTTTTTACCATTTAAATGATGTACACTTGGTCACAGTATGGTCTGACTGAGAGAACCAGTCCAGCACTAAGGTTTACTTACAATGTGAATAAATGTATATAGTGATTCTCGTCGTCATTTAAGCAGCACTACTCACATTTGGTACTAACATACAAAAATAAAACAGTTCCAAGCAATCATAGTAGAAAACAGTTCCAAAACATAATAAAATCAGAAACAAATAACATCTCTGTAATACATTACAGTTTATGTGAGTGTTTTATATTTATTATGCTTCTCAAAACAAATCTAAGCTGTGTAATAATGACTATTCAAATCTTACAGAAGATGAAATTGAGTTAAAGAAGAACAAATGCCAAATGACTTGACAAAACCTACACAGCCAGAATTTGAAGTTAAATGTTCTTGGTTTCAAAGACAGTACTTCTAACGTTTTTTCTTACTTTAAAGAAGTTATTGTTTTATTCTTATTATGGCAATAATATATGACCATTGTAGAAAATCTTGGAAAAGCAGAATAACATAAAATATACAATTAAGGCTGGGCACTGTGGCTCATGCCTGTAATCCAAGCCCTTTGGGAGGCTAACGTGGAAGGATTGCTTGAAACCAAGAGTTCAAGACCAGCCTGGGCATCATAGCAAATATGTTGTCTCTAAAAAATAAAATTAAAAAAATACCAAAAATTAAAATCATCCAAAATCCCATTACCAAGGCAGGCACTGGTAAATTCCATGTATTTCATATTTATAGGATTTAAAACATACTCCTAGGCTCAGTTATCCTTCCATCTCAGCCTCCCAAATAGTTGGAGCTATGGGCATGTGCCACCATGCTTCACTATTTAAAAATTTTTTGTAGAGATGGGGTCTCACTATATTTCCCAAAATGAACTTGAACTCCTGGGCTTAAGCAATCCTCCCACCTCAGCCTTCCAAGTTATTGGGACTATATAGGTACACACCACTGCGTTCAGCTAAATTTTTGTATTTCCATGGACATATAATACATTTACATATCTACTATCTCATAATTTTCTGTAAAATAGACTCTGAGTTGGAGATTTGCACACAGGAAGTTTAATGGGTTATCCTCTGGAACAATATCTGTAAGAGAGGGAGGGAAGCAGGATTGTTCTAAGGGAAAAGTTGAAGCGTGATGCAGTTACAACAGAGGCATGCATTGGTTAATTCCACATGGAAATTTAGATCTTGGGTACCCCTTCCAACTGCTCTTGATTTGAGATCAGGAGTCCCTCTGTAACCACAAATTGACTAGTCACAGGATATAAGCTGCCTCTTGGGGAGAGGGCTGGACATTAGATAAAGCAGCTCCATGGAAATTCTAAGACAGTGACTCAAATGTGGCCTGTCAGCAGACAATCTTCTATGCAGTTGATGGAATAACTGCCTCTGTCCTGAGGAGGTGACTGCAACTTTCACTACAGTTCATCTCTGTGCCACACAGATTTACTTCTGTTGTAGGATGACCAATAGGTGGGTTGTAGACCCCATGAAAATATTCTGAGTCAAAGCTGTGTCTTCATTTATTTATTAAAATATTCTGAATCAAAACCATGTCTTCATTATTATTTGGCATCCATAAGTCTCACTTGAATAGTGGGCCATCATGCACTTGAGGACCCCACAAAAGTCCTTGAAATAACTCATTATTCTCCATGCCCGGTACTCTCTATTTCCATTTTACAATTACCCAAGTAAATAGGCATAGGTTTTTTTTTTTTTTAAATGAAAGTACTGAGAAAATCATTGCTGTAGACCCTTGACATGATGTTGTAGAATTTTTCCTCCTAAAAACTCAGATTCTCTTTCTATCAATGGTTTCTGGTTGTGAAAATTGATCCAGGTCCTGAAATACAGTTTATTGTATAAATACACCACATTCTAGGTTATAGATATTGAGATTATTTCTATTTTTTGGCTATTATGCATAATGATGTTATGAAGTAGTGTGTTCATGTATTTGAACATATGTTTTTATTTCTCTTGGGTAGATATCTAAAGATGAACTTGCTAAATTTTATGTCAAGAATAGATTTCATTTTTAATAACTGCCAAACTGTTTTGCAAAATGGCTGTACCATTTTACATTTCTACCAATGATGCATGAAGGTCTGTGTCCCCCAGATCACCAACAGTTGGTTTCAGCTGTTTTGATATTAGCCATTCTAACTGAGTTTAGCTCATTATAGTTTCTATTTCCTTAAAGAATAACAATATTTTTAATGTACATTCTTTTGCCCTTAGTGTATCTTCATTTGCTGAAGTTTCTATCCAAATATGTTGCCCATTAAAAAAAAATTGGGATGCTTGGCTTCTTATTATTGAATTATGAGAATTCACTGTAAATTCTGATATAATTCCTTTGTCTGTTATACATATTGAGAATTTTGTTAATCGGTCTTTAGCTTATCTTTTCATCTTGTTATTCTTTTGCAGAGCAAAATTTTTCAATTTTGATGAAGTCCAATTATCAATGTTTTCTTTTAACGATTTTGCTTTTGGTCTTATAACTAAGAAATATTTGCCTAACCCCAGTTCAGAAATATTTTTCTCCCAAGTTTTCTTATACAAGTTCTATAGTTTTTGTTCTTACATTTAAATCTATGATTCACTTCAAGTTAATTTTTGGGCACAGCATTATTTAAGAATCAAATTTTAACTTTTGTATATGAATATCCAATTAGTTGAAGACTGTCCATTCTCAATTAAAGTACCTTGGCATGTTTGCCAAATGAGTTGATCGTAAATGTGTGAGTTTATTTCTAGACACTTTAATCTGTTCTATTGGTCTACATATTTATTCTTATGCATATACCATAGTGTCTTCTATTACTGTGGCTTTAAAAAATTGTTAATTATTTATTTATAAGAGAAAAGATTTCTTAGCCCACATATTTATATTTCACAGTTCAGGAACACAAGTGACAAACTTCTAGGTAATTCAGCCTGAAGAAGTTCTTTATATTTCAAGATCACTTCACACTCTGAAAGACACCAGCCTTCTCATCTTTTCACAATCTTTCATGGAATCATAATTTCTGTAAAAATCTGTGTATGCCTTCTTTCTTGGTTCAGCCACAGCAAATTTATATAAAGCTGTAACCCCCAGGGATACCATGAATACTCCAACAATATGAAATTGCAGATGCTTGGCCAGAAGGCCAGGCATCTGAGGTTTTGTCAAAGCACTGGAAGCCATAGTAGTTACTATCCTTGATAGGTATGTCAAACTCAACACCAATTCCTGACTTCTTGACTGATGGAGAAATGGTTGTAGGTTTTTTTGTTTTTGTTTTTGTTTTTTTTGAGATGGAGTGTTGCTCTGCCACTAGGCTGGAGTGGAGTGGCATGATCTTGACTCACTGCAACCTCCGCCTCCAGTGTTCAAGTGATTCTCCTGCCTTAGCCTCCTAAGTAGGTGGGACTAGTGGGTGTGCGACTGAGCCCAGCTAATTTTTGTATTTTTGGTAGAGATGAAGTTTCACCATGTTGGCCAGGTTGGTCTTGATCTCATGATCCACCTGCCTCGGCCTTCCAAAATGCTGAGATTACAGGCATGAACCACCATGCCCAGCCAGTTGTGGCTTTTTAATAAGTTTTGAAATCAGTGTGACTCTTCCAACTTTGTTCTTCTCTTTCAAAATTACTGTGGCTAAGTTCTTTGATTTCCATATAATATGTACAACCAGCTCCTCAATTCCTACAGAAAAGCTAGCTGGAATTTGATAATATTGAATTAAATTAGTATATGACTTTAAATAGAATTGTCATCTTAATAATATTGAGTCTTCCAATTCATGGTATGTCTTCCTACTTATTAACGTCTTCTTTAGTTTATCTCAGCAGTATTTTATAGTTTTCAGTTTGCTACGATGATTCCTAGGAATCACATTTTTTAGTACTAGTGTAAACTAACTTGCTTTCTTAATTTATTTTTTGCTTGTTCATTGCTACTACATAGACAAACTATTGATTTTTATATATTTATGTTCTATCATTTATCTTTGCTAACCTCCATTACAAAGTCTACTAGTTTTGTTTTTTGGTATACTCTAGAATTTTCTACTTATAAAATTATGAGATCTGAGAATAAATGAGACTTTAATTTTACTTTTTCAACATGTGCTTCTTTAAGTTTCTTTGGTTGCCTTATTACAAAGGGCAGGATTTTTAGTATATTGAATAGAAGTGAAGAGAATCATTGCTTTCTTCCTCATCTTAGGAGAAAAGCATTGCCTTTCACCAGTAAGTATCATACTGGGTCATTAGTCCTCATTATCAATTCAGGAAGCTCCTTTCTATTGCCAATGTTTTGAGAGTTTTTATTTTTTGGGGGTATTGGATTTTATCAAATTATTTTTCTTCATCTGCTGAGGTGACCATATTGTTTTAACTTCTTAATATATTAAACTTAAATATTAATCATTAACCAATTTTACAGTAATGGATGCTGAAGTTGGTCTCACTAACATTCGTCTTCTAAGTTTCCCATCACATAGAAAGGCCAATGCAAACTAAAGCACACATGAATTTTTAAAAAGTTGTTAGATAGAATTTTTAATTCCTGTGTAATATACCTCTAAATGGTATTCCATGATTTATATACTCACTGTCATATTTTGGACTCTTAGAGAGTTCTAATTTTAGTATTACATAATCTTGAAAAGGTATTAATGTCTGTTAACAGGTATAGATTCATACCTACAAAATGAATTTTACTGATTTCATTAGGACACAAATTAAGGAAACATGAAAAGAAAGCATACACAAAAAGCCATTGGATTCAGAAGCCAGAATTTGGAAATCATGTTCAGTAATGTTTATTAGTTTTGAAGTATTTAGAAGATGTGGGACAGTAATCTAAAAACAGTGCTGAGAAATGCAAGAACAAAGTTGAATTTTCACTTTGAACTGCTAACTGTCATCCAGGTGATTTACTCTTTAAACTGTGGTTAAAAAATAAAAATACCATCAGCCCTGTCTCTCTCTTTTTTTTTTCTCCTTATTTTTTTATTGCATTTTAGGTTTTGGGGTACATGTGCAGAGCATGCAATACAGTTGCATAGGTACACACATGGCAGTGTGTTCTGTTTGCTTTCACCCCTTCACCCACATTTGGCGTTCCTCCCCAGGCTATCCCTCCCCACCTCCCCCTCCCACTGGCCCTCCCCTTTTCCCCCCAATAGACCCCAGTGTTTAGTACTCCCCTTTCTGTGTCCATGTGTTCTCATTTTTCATCACCCACCTATGAGTGAGAATATGCGGTGTTTCATTTTCTGTTCTTGTGTCAGTTTGCTGAGGATGATGTTCCCCAGATTCATCCATGTCCCTACAAATGACACAAACTCATCATTTCTGATTGCTGCATAATATTCCATGGTGTATATGTGCCACATTTTCCCAATCCAGTCTATCATCAATAAGCATTTGGGTTGATTCCAGGTCTTTCCTATTGTAAACAGTGCTGCAATGAACATTCGTGTGCATGTGTCCTTATAGTAGAATGATTTATAGTCCTTTGGGTATATACCCAGTAATGGGATTGCTGGGTCAAATGGAATTTCTATTTCTAAGGCCTTGAGGAATCGCCACACTGTCTTCCACAATGGTTGGACTAATTTACACTCCCACCAACAGTGTAAAAGTGTTCCTTTTTCTCCACATTCTCTCCAGCATCTGTTGTCTCCAGATTTTTTAATGATCGCCATTCTAACTGGCGTGAGATGGTATCTCAATGTGGTTTTGATTTGCATCTCTCTGATGACCAGTGACGATGAGCATTTTTTCATATGATTGTTGGCCTCATATATGTCTTCTTTCGTAAAGTGTCGGTTCATATCCTATGCCCACTTTTGAATGGGCTTGTTTGTTTTTTTCCTGTAAATCTGTTGGAGTTCTTTGTAAATTCCGGATATCAGCCCTTTGTCAGATGGGTAAACTGCAAAAATTTTTTCCCATTCTGTTGGTTGCTGATTCACTTTAGTGACTGTTTCTTTTGCCGTGCAGAAGCTGTGGAGTTTCATTAGGTCCCATTTGTCTATTTTGGCTTTTGTTGCCAATGCTTTTGTTGCCAGTGATTTTGGTGTTTTGTTCATGAAGTCCTTGCCTACTCCTATGTCCTGGATAGTTTTGCCTAGATTTTCTTCTAGGGTTTTTATCGTGCCAGGTCTTATGTTTAAGTCTTTTATCCATCTGGAGTTAATTTTAGTGTAAGGTGTCAGGAAGGGGTCCAGTTTCTGCTTTCTATACATGGCTAGCCAGTTTTCCCAACACCATTTGTTAAATAGGGAATCCTTTCCCCATTGCTTGTTTTTGTCAGGTTTATCAAAGATTGTATAGTTGTGGATATGTTGTGTTGCCTCCGGTGCCTCCGTTTTGTTCCATTGGTCTATATCTCTGTTTTGGTACCAGTACCATGCTGTTTTGATTACTGTAGCCTT